CTGTGTGAGCTATGGGCTGAGAATTCTTTCCACTCCAGGAGTGCAGACAGGCACAGAAGAGTGCTCCATTGAAAGGAGTGAAGGGAGGAAAGTTACCTGGCTCAAGAGGAAGGATGATCCAAAGGGGCAAGACAAAAGTTGCTGTTCAAAAACATATTTTTTGAGATAGGAACTCGCTAGGTAATCCAGCCTAGTCCTGAATTCCTGGGCCTGCCCTGAGCTGCTAAAGCACATTCTAATGGCTTCTACAAACCAACCTTTTGGCTGTAGATGTAGTTCAGTAGTGAACTTGCCTGCATGCAAAAGATCCTAGGTTCAATCCCCAGCACCACGCAAGGGAGAAAAAAAAATTCTTCTCTCTCTCTCTCTCTCTCTCTCTCTCTCTCTCTCTCTCTCTCCTAGGGATTTAATCAGGGTTACTGAACCACTTAGCCACATCCCCAGTCCTTTTTATTTTTATTTTTGAGACAGAAACTCACTAAGTTGCTTAAGGCCTTGCTGAAGTTGCTGAGGCTGACATTGAACTTGTGATCTTCTTGCCTCAGCCTCCCAAACTGCTGGTACCAGAGATCTAAATGCTGAAGACAGCTAAAAAATAACACTAACTCTTCTAACAGATCTTTCGAGAACCTATCCATTTTCGGCACTCCAAATTAGCAGTGAGGATGGAAAATAATAGTAAATGTGAAAGAGGAAGAAAAAGAGAGATGAGACATCTGGAAGGAAAGAAGGAAGGAAGGAAGGAAGGAAGGAAATTAAAAAGGAAGAAAGGAAGAAAAGAAAGTAGGTCAAGCTGATTTTAAAAAAGAAACAATAAGGAATGAGATTATGATTCCTGTTATTGATACACTGGCCTTACTTTTTCCCTTTAGTGCACCTGTTTTACATGGTGGTTAATAAATAATTGTAGTTGGTCATATAACTTATGGAAACTAAATACATTTAATCAAATTCTTTCAATGGAAGCGAGCTAATACTACTACTGATAAGAGTAACTCAAGTTTTATATTGGGTTCTTATTTGCAGTATTCTTGCTTTGCATTAGTGATTTGATTCTTATATCAGTACAGAAGATAAGCTGAGATATTCTCCTAGTTTCACAGAGGAGAAAACAAGATTTAGGGAAGTCACATAACTTGTTCAAGTCACACAGTAAGCACTGGAGTCTAGAATGAACCCAAATGTGCTGAATCAGCTCTTACATGTGTGCTGTGCTCCCATACCACATTTTTTTCTTTTCTTTTTTTTTTTTTTTTGGGGGGGGGGGGGGTACCAGGGATTGAACCCAGGGGCACCTAACCTCTAAGCCACATCCCTATTTTTTTTTTTTTTTGAGACAGGGTCTCACTAAGTTGCTTAGGGTCTCCATAAGTTGCTGAGACTCCTGCTTCAACCTCCCGAGCCCCTGGGATTACAGGTGTGCATCACCACACCCAGCCCCATACCACATTTTTGATCCAAGAGTTTTCATAAAGTCTCTGGACATGTTTTAAATGTAATTAGTTCATACATTTTGTGTTTTATGATCAGTGGGGGTTTTTTTAGTTTTTCTCAGAAGGGAAAAAAGGGAGAAGTCAGTGCTAGCTTGATAAAATTGTGAAATGCCTTTTCCCTCTTTTTATGGGCCACCTGACTTAACTAGTGGTAAGCATGTGATTGTACATTTCCCATGAAATGAATCATTCAAGAGTAAATTCATTCATTTAAGCATATTTGTCAACAACACTATGAAAATAATATCAGTTTGCCATGTCTGTACGACTGACTCAAAAGAGCTCTATCTGTCATTAACAGAATCAATGTCTCCTGAGAGCTAGGAACAAAATATCAAGATTGCTTTGAAAAGATCTCTTAGCAAGTTTATCTACCACATATAACACCTAAGCTACTCAGGTGTAAAAGTGAAGAGCTGGGAGCCTGCACAGAATGTTACAAAGGATGAGTATGTGTGCAAGCAGTTATGTGTATTTATATCTCCAGTCGGGGGAGCTTTCTTCTGCCACATGTTTGCTAACCCCAGTACCACCCCCAAAATAAGAGTACATTTCTAGACATTATAAGGAACCATTTTTAACAGCCTCCATTCACTATAAGTTCCAGGAACTCATAAAATTCATTGTGAAAAAGTTAAATTTTTAAGTAACATGCATTCACTGACTGTGTGTTCCCAAGTAGCATGTCAAGCACTAGGAACACAGTCCAAGCCTATAGAGAGCTTGCAGGCTCATATGTGGGCCTCTGTGCTAGAGAATAGTTGCCATCACTTGAAAGCTATATAGTATGCTGAAATTTTGCTCAGCCTTTCAGTACAGCTTCCCACAGTCAGCTAGAAGAAAACATGGCTAAGCATCTCACATACTTCACCCAGCCTTAAGTCAGGCTGAGTTAGAAAGAAGAATTCCAGGAAAAAGAAGATGATTAAAAAAGAAGACTGGTTGCAGTAACACCATCCTTAGGCAAGAAGGCCTTAAACAAAATGGAAATGGTATCAAGTAAAAGATTTATCAATCTGATTACATCAAACTTTTTTTTTTATACTGGGGAATTGAACCCAGAAGCTCTTTACCACTGAGAAACATCCCAAGCCCTTTCTATTTTTTGTTTTGGACATGGTCTTGATAAGTTAATTAAAGCCTCACTTAGTTGTTGAGGTTGGCCTTGAACTTGTGATCCTCCTGCCTCAGGCTCCTGAGTCTCTGGGATTACAGGTATGTGCCACCATGCCTAACCTGAATCAAACTTTTAAATATTTATAATGACTAAAGACATGAATAGTTCATTTGAAAAGATACTCAGCAAACTAGAAGATATCTGTCACATATAAAAATAAATAAAAAATATCCAGAATATTCAAAGAATTCCTATAGATCAGTAAGAAAAAGACAAAATGAAAATGGGCAAAGGCTATAAACAGATAAATCCCTAAAGAAGAATTAGAAATTGTTAGTAAACATACGAAAAGATGCTCAAAATGAAAAGATATTTAGCCTTATTAATAAAAAAACAAGAATTAAAACAAGATATGTTTAAATATATATCTATTTTAACCCGACAAATTGGGGAAATTATGACAGATTGCTACAATGTAATGTTAGTCTTCTGGTATGTAGGGAAATGTTGGATACTCTAACAAGCTTCTGATGGGAGTGTAACTTCCCAGAACCACTTTGGAGGGCAAGGATCCAGTAGATTAAACAATAGACATGTACCACAGCCCAGAAAAGCAACATCCACCCTAGAAAATCCACACATGCAGGAGGGAAGGTACATATAAAGATTATTCAGTGAAGCATTGTTCATGGTAGACAACTCTGGAAATAACCTAAATTTTCACCAACTAGACATGGCCAACTATTCGACAGCATTTACATACAACAGAATATATGACAAACTTTTAAGAATACTATTTTAGCAGAACAGAATGGCACAGGCCCATAATCCCCAGGAGGCAAGAGGTTAGCAATTTCAAGGCCATTGTCAGCAATTTAGCATGATCTGTCTCAAAATAAAACTAAAGAGAACTGGGAATGTAGCTCAGTGGTAAAGTGCCTCTGGGTTCAATCTCCATTATAAATAAATAAATAAATAAATAAATCCTATTATAAATAGTCTTGGTTGAAAAAAAATAAGTTGAAAATTAAGTACCATGTAGAATTTTAACTCACACACACACACACACACACACATATAAATTTTTTCACAAAGAAATACTATGAGGCTGAGGGTATTGCTCAGTGGTAGGGTGTGTTATTAGCCTGTGGAAAGCTTTGGGTTTGATTCTCACCACCAAACAACAACAAACTGTTAGCCAGGCATGCTGGGCCATGCCTGTGGTTCCAGCTACTTGGGAGGTCAAGGCAGAGAATTGCTTGAGGTCAGGAGTTCGAGGTCAATCTGGGCAAAATAATAAAACCCTACCTCTAGAAAAAAGAATGCTAGGTATTTCCTATAGATATAGCATGTTTTGCATGTGAAATAATAGACAAGAGTAGTTATCACTTAGGATAGATGAGAGTTAGGATTGGGCCTTGAAGAGAGGCTCCATGGGCACATAGGTGCTTTTAAAAACTAAGAATGTAGTGTATTGGGACATAAAAGGAAACATATACATCCAGCTGTAAAAGGCTTCTTTTCTGCAACCAGAAATTCTCTGCTCTTTCCTGCCAGAGAGGTTGTATTTCCCAGTCAACCACTTGGACAAGGAGAGAGTTTCATTTCTACATATAACTTTGTCGAGGCATACTTTAAATTTTATATAATGGGAAGGGAGTTTTTAAGAAGCTCATTTATCTTCACTACCAGAAACTCATGTCTTAAACACACCATTTCAATCTCCTGTATTTGAAAGGGAGCCACTAAAAAAATAAAAAATACCAAAATAAAAATTTTAAAAAGGGTTCTTACCAACATGAATTCTCTCATAGGTCCCTACACAGTCTTAGCTTTTTGAGGTACTGATAATAATGTGAATTTTTATTTTAAAAATATTAAGTAATGGTTCTCTTTAACCACAGTCCAGAATTTTTATATTAGAAAACTGACAAAAAAATTAATTTGTAAGTAATGAACTTGCAAAAATATACACTTATCTTTTTCAACATAATAAATACCTACATATGACAACATCTAATACCAAGTGTTTCTGTACTAATTCTACATTGTTGTGACAGCCCTAGCAAAAAGTAAGTTTTAGATTGCCTGTGCTGTTGACTCTGAAGATGCATTAGAAAGCTGCTTTATAGGTCCCCAGACCTCATTACTGTAATTCATACTGTCCAAAATAAAAACTGTGAGGGTTTTCCAGCTAAAAAGTTCTAGTATTCATTGGAAATAAGCCAGAAAGATTTTAGGTTTTTTTAATTAAAAATTTCTAAAACAAACTACCCAAAGAAAATTAAATTCTTAAGTAGGTGTTTTGTGATGGTGGCTTCCATTAGCAAAGAAACTCTGAATTCCTATTTCACAGTACAAACAATGAAAAAAATTTCCATCACACATACCCAGCCTCCATTTTGCCGTATCCATTCTCCTGCATTATTCATAATGAACTCAGCCACAAAGTAAGAGATCTCCTCGTCGGAATCCACAGCAGGGGCAATCCGCTCTCGCAGAAGTTTCTTGACCAGAACTCCTCCGAAGGCAAATATGGTCACAATCCTTCCCCAGTTCATGATGCCATCTTCAAATTCCTTTTCCATCACTTGATTGAATATTGTTCTGGCAGTATCAGCAGACACCACATCAAAATTGTCCAAGTATGGTTTCAGATTCTTTTCAACTTCTTTTTGGACTGAGAAAGCCACGTTTTGTAACACTTTGGACGTTTTGTTGGGACTTGACCCACGTTGCGGTACCTGCAGGACGTGCTGCAGGTAGTCCTGAGCCAGCGTGTGGATGAACCTGAACTCACAGTCATTCATCTTCCCCTGGTGCAGAGCAGCCGGGAGCAGGTTCCTCTGGAGTCCGTGGAGGCCAGTCGAAGTAAATGCTTACAGAGCTTGGCAGAGGCGTGACACATGTTATCTGGAAGCTGGTGGAATTTCTGTTTGCATCATGGTATAGTATCCTTCCTCCTAGTCACTTTCGAGTGTAGGCTGCATATGAAAGAGAAAGTTCAAATGTGAAAGAGGAAAACATTTCAGAGAAGCCACTTCCTCATCCTGTGAACTCAGTTTTAAAAGTCTCAAGTGTGAGGATGTGGAGATATTAGGATCCTCATACATTGCTCTCAGGAGTGGAGATTGAGTACATATCCTGTGAAAAGGTTTGGCAGTTCCTCAAAAAGTTAATTTTAGGATTACCAAAACAGCCAGAAATTCCATTCATAGGTATTGAAGGAGTGGAAGATGTGTCATCTCAAAATATGCCAAATTGGCCTGTTATTTCAGGCTGAAATCCCTTGAGGAACTAAAACTTCAGAAAAGGCCATTTGGCTTCTTTCGCTATATGCAACAAGCCATAAAGATTCTTTCAGACAGGATGTCCTTTCCATACCAAGGCCAGAAAATAGGTTTGACCACCAGAGGCTGGTAATTGAGGTTGCAGTGAACCTGAATAAACAAACTCTTTGAAGTATTTTCCACTATATCCCCACCCCACCCCTAAATACCTCTTAGTAACATCCCTACAATTTAATGTCCTAGTCTACATACTCATTTGTCCTGTCATTCCTTCACAAATTTATGTTTCTTTGTGTAAAAGAATAAATACAAGGCACTTGGACCATTTCTTCAGACTTGGTTCTCTTATGAAGATCCCCAAGTGTATGTAACCTAATTAAAACTTTTATGCTATTCTCTTGTGGATCAGCTCTTGTAGTAACTGGATTCCTAGACCAGTCAAAGAGAGCACATAGAAATTAAGGAGAAAGTAGATGAATCTCTCTGTCTCCCCCTATAGTATATACCCAAAAGAATTGAGAACAGGTATTCAAAGACTTATACATCAATGATCATGCAGTGTGACTCATATTAACCAAAAGTTGGAAATATAACAAATGTTCATCAACAGATAAATGTATAAATAAGTTATGGAACATTATTCAGTCATAAAAAGCAAAGTACTGGTACATAACAGCAATATGGGTGAACCTCAAAAACATTATGCTAAGTGAGAGAAGATAAGCAGAAAGTCACCTATTATATGATTCTATGTGTATGAAATAGGAAAAAGTCTGGCTTTAAGCCTTACTTAATTCATATTTTTAAGTCAGGTAAGTTATCCAACGTATGGGTCAGAGATTGTGGGAGTGGAAAGAATACTGGCTTTAGAGTCTGAGAAACTGAACTTGGTCCTGGCTAAATCCCTCTCCCTGTCCAAACCATGTGTCCTGCTCCGGGGATTAATTTGTAAAAGGAATCAATCCATACTGATCACAGAGGATTGAGGTGAAATTAAAAGAGATGATCAATGTAATACACCTATCACCATGACTGGTAAAGTATAGGCACTTAATCAATGCTAGCTCTCCATTGTTTTTGTATGGACTAGCAAGAAATTTGGCTTCCCAGTCATCTTTTTTCCAAGTAAGTGCATAACTTCATAAGTGCACAGTTTGAAGTGAAAAGCAAATCTGTCATTTTATTTAGCTTTGGCAGCAGTTCTGAGAAAAGCTTGGCAGAGATGGTGAAATTTGTGGCTAAAAGGAGCATTGGGGACTTTAGGGTGGATTTCAAGCCTCCTTACCCAAGAGCATAGCAATTAAGGCAGCAACCAAATACTTGGGGGAGGTGGGGAACCATTCCTGACTGACAGCTGCAAGCCAAATAGTCAGTGGTTAGAGAAAATTCATGGTCCTCGGAAAAATTGAATTCTCTTCCCTCCACCAGCCATACATGGAGTGATTTTATTCTTTGCAGTAGTGCCTATGAACAGCTGAAAAGAGGGGAGATTTTTTTCAGATATAACTTATATTCCTGAACTATCACCACAGAGCTAAGGAGGAAGAAAGAGGGGCTACTTTGGATGCTAGTTAATGGGGACTTTTGGAAGCCGTGAAAATGCACCTCTCAAACCTCCTACAGGAGAGTAATTGACTAAGGGCCCAGCCACTGAGCTTTGAATCTACCACTGACTTTGCACTGAAGCCACATGGCTCACAGGCTGTTCCCAGCCAACAACAGCTAGGCAGGAATACTGAGACACATTCCTTTGACAGGTAACTTTGATTCAAGGACTCTCAACCAGCTTGCAGAAACTCTGTGATACTGCACCGTAGTCTAGGACTCTTCCTACTCTTCCTTCCTTCTCTCTTTTCTTCACAGTGGTCAGTGCTGTGTTGCTATCAGACAGCTCACCAGTTTCTTTTGCCCTTTCCCCATTTTCCCTCACAAGCATTTTCCTCAACAAAGAAATCTCTTATACATCTATCCAACCCGCTCATGGCATTTGCTTCTTGGAAAACCCAGGCTGATATGGGATCCATATAGAACAAAGGAACACGCAGTTAGGTAGCCAAGTTACTTCTCCAGAATTTCCCCCTGGAAAATTCCTCCTGGTCTATGCCTATTAGCCCACAGGAGCATGAAGCCAAGGGAAGGCTGCTTTCTCAACTCAAAACATCTTTGAGTACCATAGGAATCACCAAAGGACAGGAGGACATTCCCATGGTGCTGAGAATTTCTGAAAAAATAATAGAAGCATGTAGCTTGAGAGTTGCAATTTAGCATTCGGAGGCCAAGATCTATCTCCTTTCTCTTTCACTCAGTGTCCAAGGCTGGACCTGTGGAAGGCAATTTGTTGAACAAATGAAATGCCCTTACATCACAGCTAGATTCAATTACAGTTAGGACTTTATATTTCTGATCTTCTAGATGCAAAAAGGAGTCACTTTAAAATTCTTAAATATTGTGGCCCACTTTATTTGGGGGAGTTTCCAAATAATCACTTTTCATGAATAGGTGGAAGAAAGAAAGAAAGAACCCTTTCACATAAAGTGCAAAAGGACTGGAGCAGAGCAGGGTAGAGGGACATGTGGATCAGAGGTAAGAAGCTGACCAAGAAGCAGGTGTGAAGACCAGGGGTGTCCATCCTCAATGCCACTGCAATCTGAGTCTGTATTCACTGGGACCTAGTACACAGGATCTTAGGGGTCTGCTTATGGGTCTTCATCCCCTGAGCTTCTCACATTACAATGTAGAATTTTGTATGAAAATGAGTCCCCCCACAAGTGCACTCTGAGTAAGTCAGTGTATGAGATCCAGAAAACATACAGGTATTCCATTACTCCATTAAGTATACAGTAAGGTGCTACTGTGTACCAGGGACAAAGAACTTTCAGTTTAGGAGAAAATAAGGCAATCAAAGGAACTGCCAACAAGAATAATTAGGAAAGGACACTGCAGTAGCTTTAAATGCAGAAACATTCCCTGGAATTCTATACCAAGGCCATGAAGCCCAATTTGAGGTCCCATAGCAACACTGAGGTTCTAGGAAATGCACATGTGTGACCCTAATCTAATATGAGCTGAGGTGAGCAGGCCAACTAGAGACAGGGTAAGGATGGAAGATGATTTACCAAATCTTTCCATTCTTAACAAGAACCTATGGCCTAGAAGATGGGAATGTAACTCAGTGGTAGGCAACATGCCCTGGGTTTAATCCCCACCACACACACACACACACACACACAACATACAGCCTGTCCAAGGTTTTCTCCATGCTTGTTTTATCCAGAAGTTTCTATTAAATAAGCATGAAGTTCTGGCTAGGACTGAAAATGTCTTTCATGGGAATAGCAACAAGAAGAAATGTACCATCCTGATAATGAATTAACTTCTTCCACATGTAAAGTGCTTTGGACTTCATTGTGATCATTATCACTTACATACATGTGAACTCATGGGTTTGCATTATGCTAGCCTAAGTTGCCATGTTTACATACACGTGTTCCAGTTACCTTTGTGACAAACCACTCCCTCAAATCTCTGTGGCTAAACAATAATCATGTATTTTTATCATGACCCTGACATTTAGGCAGGACTCAATAGGGCCTGCCCTAGGGCCCAAACCTAAAGCCTCAGTGGGGCCTGTTGCCTGTCTGGGGTTTAACTCGAAAGATTCAAACAGCCAGGGCTCTGTTCTGTTCTGACCAGTGAACAGACAGCAATGACTGCCCAGGGATAGGATTTGATGGAGAATGAGAGAGCAGAACCAGGACTAGATGTGTGACCTCTGGCAGAGACCACTGACGTCAACTTCCCGTTTTGCTAAAGGTGGAACCTAAAGTTTGCTGGGTTTTTGGCGGCTTCCGAGGAGGTGGCTCAGGGGAACTCCCACTCGGTTTGCTCTTTAGCTTCTCTGAACTTAGCATGCATACTTCCCTATTCTAAGGCCCTGACCAGGGCTAATTCTCTGCAGGGAACAGAATGGTCTTCAAGAGTGACACCATCAAAACTCCAAGGGGAGTTAGGAAATAAGCTCAAGAAGTCACCTGCATGCCCCCTATCATCTCCCCTGGTCCTGTGGGACAGAAAGCCCACTGAAGGCAAGTCAACTCGACCTGAAACTCCACCAAGAAAGCCAGAGGCCTGATGTGGCAAGGTTTCTGGTAGAAGCTTGGTTTCTATCTAAGGAGATTAATCTCCAGGGAATCCCACAAGCAAAACAAACAAGCATGCCCTCCTAATTTTTCTTTTGTATTTGGAAGCAAGTTTTAAGTGTACACAGGAGTGAGCAACCAGTTGTGAACCAAGGGAGCTGAAAGCCAGGGGTGGGGGGAGAAGTGCCATGAAACCTGGCTAATGGGACATAATTTTTTAATTAAGTATAAAGAGGCTACAAAGGAGATGAAAGGGGAAAAGAAGCTAGGAGAGAGGTGAGAATTATGGATGGCCCCACATAAGATAGACTGAGTGCAACAGGCAACAATGTCACCAATCTGTCCTCCCATATCCCCTCTCACACACGTGTATGTGCAAATGTTTAATCAGAGTGGTCTTCCCTTACCAGCTCTGAAACTTACTTTAATGGCTATGGCTCCTTCTGCTCACAAGCTCAGGACCATGCAAGACTTCCCATTGCCTGTGAGAAGGAGCCCCCAACTCCCAAAAGCCTCCAAATCAACCTAATCTCACCCGACTCCCGTCCCTGCAGCACCT